TCCGTTGCTGTCTTCTTTCTTACGTTCCCTGTTTTGTGACATGATCATGATAGCGTAATGTTCCGAAAATGTAATGTATTACTTTTTCATTTGGGTGATGATAGTTTTTATTAATTAGTTTTATAATTTAATGATCAATATGAAATCGTATTGAATTTTATTCGTGATGTTGTTTATTCTAAATTGTTATTGATCGGTGATAGTGAGGTTCGGTTACTTCGTCACTTTCAAACCATTTGATAATTTTCAAAGTGACAGTTTAATAGTGGTTAATATCCAGTAATATGTCTTACCCCGGACGGCCCCCCATAATGCAAGGGCTTCCTATGCCATATATGTCCATGGGAGGACCAGCACCTCCTTTAATACCAGCTGTTATGCCATTGCAACATGTAAGTCCAGTATTATTTATGTAGTGCAGATTTTTATCAAACCTCATTTTGTTGATAGATGGTTCCAATCCAGGTAACCAGTGCTCCTCAGATTAGAGCTTACCCTAAGCTGAATCCTAATAGAGAACAACAAAAGCAGATACAGGGACCTGCTGTTACTGTATTTGTTGGTATGTTTTATAAGCGGTTTATGAAAATTAACTCATTTTTAGTGATGGGAATAATCGAATGAATTTAATAATCGAGAGGTTACCGTTCGAATTAATTTTATAATTGAATGATCATTCGAATGATATATAATTGATAGTCCACTTCGAAAATTTCCGACCTATCCCAAATTATATGCGAAAAAAACGAAATGAATTACTTTCGCGTATTGCGGCATTTCTTCGTTGTCAGTTAAGTGGTTCATCAGCATGTGTTTAAAATGAATAGTGGCCGCCTAAAGAGGTCCATTGTTTGGGTTTTTGAAAAAAAAATTAATATATAGAAAACATAAAGTTTGTATTATTTTCATTCATATGAATTTCTATATTTGCTAAATAAAGCTTCTTTCTAAACCGCCCTTCAAAACCGCGTGATGCCACTCATAAAATTACTGCATATCTTTTATGCAGTGATAATCGATTGTCTCATCCATCCTCTCGGTCGTCTTATCTCGAGATTCTCGAGGTTTTGTATCTCGTTAGAGCATTGGAATAATCGAAACACCTGCGCTTTCGCTCGAGCAGCGCGTTTGCGTTATTCGGTGATGACGAGTGACGATTGACGTTAGTAATGTTGTGGCCACTGTCATTCGTCTAAGAATATTCTAATGAATTTATATGATCACTCGAAATATCTCGAGAGATTTTCATAATCGATATAATTGATAATTTTCATTCGAGTAGTCCCATCACCACTCATTTTATACCTCTAAATTATAAGACAAGTAAAGATGTAGGTGGTAATCAAGCAGCTTAGTGCATTTTTGTAAACCACTTCTCATTTTTCTTTGTTTTGTCGAAATTTGGTCTACTTTTACTGCTTTATTGACTTATCATTTTATATAGGTAATATAACTGAAAGAGCTCCAGATGCTATGATAAGACAAATATTAGCAGCCTGTGGTCATGTCATCAGTTGGAAAAAAGTGAAAGCATTTGGATTTTGCGAACTAGCTGGGCCAGATGCAGGTCTAAGGGCAGTAAGGATTCTTCATGATCTTATGGTAGGAGATAAACGACTTGTGGCAAAAGTTGATGCCAAAACTAAAACAGTTTTAGATGAGTATAAAGGTATGATTTAGATTTTTATGTAACATACATATTTACATTTTTAAGTGAGTTTATACTATAAAGTTTTAAATTTTGTTGGTTAAATTTATTTGTATTAATCTTTTACATTTTCTAAAATATGGGCAGGTATACAGCATGTCTATATTCCTAAATTGCGCTATTTCAGAATTATTTAATATTTTTTTCATAAAAAAACATGGGAGACGGTATACTAAGCTATTTAACTTTTTTATGGCAGTTGTAGTCAATGGATAGAGTTGGGGGAGTAACATTTTTATATTTCTCAATGTAAAAATGTACCTCTTACTTAAAAGTTATGTTTTTGTTCAAATATAGAAAAATATTGTTTTAAGTGGGCCAACCTATACGGTGTGTCCTCTAAAAGGCAATGAATAGTAGTTAATTTCATCTTTAGAACTCAGTAATACCCTATGTCAGTTAAGAGACACATAAAAAACAGTAATTTTAAGATGTCCATAAATTGGCTTAATCATCATTTTTATGTTGAAATATTTGTCAAGAACATAAAACTTATTTTCTGAGCAGGTAAATTCCTAAAAGAAATTTATTGAGAAAATTTATTCACCATTAAAATTTATGTCCATAGACATATGTACTAAATTTGAAGATCATTGAGTTTAATATTTTTTTATTTGATAAATAATTATAAAATTAATACCGATAGCTACTAAATTTAAAGTATTAATATAAATTTTAATTCTAAAGAAATTCTAATAAAGATTTTTCTGATCTCTCATTTTATCTACACAGCACAACAATTATGATAGGAACTTAAATTTTAGTTCAATAAGTTACCCTAATTAAATGTTTTGATATATTGTATGAAGGTAGTTTTTTGTTATATGTCAATGTCCCCAGATCGACCATATCTACGGTGGATTCACCGGGCTTACAAACGGCTAAAAAAACGTCGTTTACAAGCGGCCTTACTGTTCCCCAAAATGTCATTTTTCCCTACAAAATTTTTTTGCCATTGACATCAATAGTTAAGACAATCTGTGGTCACCCTGTACATATCAAATATTGGAAATGACTATGTGTTTCTTAACTATTATTGAATTCTCAGGATAAAATCAACTACTATATTTATAATAATTTCTTAATAGGGAACACCCTATATACTTTGGCCCACTTAAAATTATATTTGAACAGAAGCAGAACTTTTTAACAAAAATAACCTTTTTATGAAATGAAAACTAAAGTTTTCCTTTTCCATCTGTGAACACACTGTATATTCATTATGTTTTTTGGTTAATGCCATATTCAAATTGAAACTTTTTTCGAAATTTGAGAACGTATCAGGTAATTTTGTTTCAGTAAAAAAATGCTTGAACGTGTCAATTTCTAATCATTTTTAATGATTATTTCATATATACATGGTAAAGTCATGTATAAGGTCATGGACAAATTTTTTTAAGTGAAATAATTTTTGATAATGTTTTTTAACTCATTTTTAATTTTGGCATTTTAAACTCACTAAACTTTCTTACTGCTCATTGTCCATTGATAATTTATTATTCAGTGAGTTTAATTGATAATACCCAAGTTCCTTTATTTATATTAAAAAAAAAAAATGTTTTTGGTTTAAAGATTTTTCTTACTTTACTATACTATATAGGCTATATATACTTTACTATATAGGCCTTTTTAACCTAAATTTATGAATTTACGTTGTCAGTTTCAATTTTATTTGATAAGTTATTTCCATTCAGATTCACTACGTGGTTCATCCTATCATCTGATATTAGTATATACAGGGTGATTCACAAATGGCGACCAAAAATGAAACCTCGTATTTTTCCCGTGAATTTTAAAGGGTCTACCGTATAAAGTTTTTATCTAGGACGCTTTGTTAAAAAGATACAAGGTTTTATTTTTGATCAGGGTTTGTGAATCATCCTGTATATAAATTTTCATATAATAAATTTGAAAAAGAATGTGATGGATACAATGACAGTACAGGGTAAATATTATTTTTCACGAGTTTTTATCCTAAAAGTGTTCTTGGTATTTTAAAAGCCAAATATTTAAATATGAAATTTATATAGGTTGTCTCAGATTTCAATAACAGTTACCAGTGCTATTTATATATGAATTTCACAGGTTGAAAGACAAAAATAAAATATGAGAATTATATATGATCGTCCCAAAATGTAAGTTTGCATTTCACGTTAAAAAATTTTAACGGTTTAAAAATTTGTTAGTGCTATTTTTTTTAAAGCTGAAAGGCGGAGGAAACAAAAAGGTTCTACATCTCCACTTCAGGATGAACCTGAAGAAGAAGAACTTGATGAAGAAACTCAAGCACTTGATTCAGTTGCCTTAGAAAGAATAAAACAAATAATATTAGAGTACCAAGATGAAATGAATAATTTTGAACTAAAGAAAGAAGGTGAAATAATTTTAAATTTTTTTTGTTTGTCTAAATTACATTTCTTAATTTTAGAGGAGGTTATTGAAAAATGGAATAAAGTTCTTGAAGAAGCTGAAGTAGAAGAAGAGAAGAGGGATTTAATTACTAGAGAAATTGGGAAATTTCGAGAAATCATGAAAGTAAGTACAATATTTATTTTATGCAACTGTCAAAATTTGCCAAAATATTTAATTAACCAATACAACAAATTGTCGATTAAACAATATTTGCAACATTCGTAATTTCAAATTAAAGGTCAGTACTAAAGTTTAATCAATGATTAGTTGACATTTTTGTTGTCTTAGTTAAAAAAAAAAAAGTAAAAAAGGACTTTTATGTTAGGGCGGGGGGGTTTTTTCTTTATTATCTTTGTGGGTATTAGAAATAAGGTTGCGCTCATATGGTGCTTGAAACCAAACAGGAAAATGGAAACGGCGCAGTCCCACCTAGGTTCGGCCCATGGCGCCGCTGGTGAGTAATGTGAAAAAGTTACCTCCAATTGATTTTTACTATTTACAATTCACATATTTGTTTTTCAAAATTCACGAATAATGTTACATGAGTTTGCTCCTCTTATTTTTGAAGATATGGAAAAGAATTTTTTTGGAGATTTAAAATATTTTAAAGTAATATTGCAAGAAACACTACTCCGTAGAGTATCTACTACGGTCAACATTGAACTATACCTGCATTATTTAGGTAAATAGCTAGAATCGTTTGCCAGTTCAGCCACCAGACATTCATGATTGATTTCACACTTATTGGTCCTCATCAGTATGCCCTAGGTGAGATGCCCTTAAATTTCATAGCGCTTATGATATTATAGATCACCCTTTATTGTTGTAGGGCATGTGAATGAAGCAATTTTTACCTTTTTTTAAATTTTGGAAATATGTGCTCATTCTTTTATTATCATGCAATTATACCTACTTGCCTGCTATATTAAAAACAAATTATACATTACATTTTGCTGCTATTGATATGAAAACCTTGAAAAAAAAAATAGTAACTGATTATTACTGAGATTAATAAATTAGTATTAATTATTACTGAAATGTATACAATCAGTTACGTAATCAAATAAATTGCAGTTTTTTCACTACTTAAAATATGTAGCTAATAAACAATAAAAAACACATTTGCTAAATATTTTAAAATTACATTTTTTTATGTGGCATGCTGAACAAAGCGTAAACATAACGGTTTGTCATTGTTCATAATAATTAATATTGGTGACACCATTGGCGGCTCGTGGTTTTTTGAGATGGGTGGGCAAAATATTTTTTCTCATGTAACCTAATATCATATAGGAATAATTGCACTCTACTGGCCTACTAATTTATTTTCTATATCAAAATTTTTTAAATTTTCTGTTAACAAATGATCCGCAGCTTTTTTCCCCTTGCTTACATGAAAAAATCCCATAAATCTTTCAACTACTTTACCACAATGAACATATCTAAAAACTACTAATAACTGAGATAAGCATTTAACATCCGTTGTTTCATTTGGGTACTTGGCCGCGAAATATAGAGCATTTCTTATTTTTGAAATTTTCACTTCGGATGCTATTCTATTGATGCTTTCTATTAAATCATTTTGAATAGTTTTTGAAAGGCTGCTAAAAACTAGACTTTTTTTCTAAAAACACTTTAAATTTATTATCGTACCTTGAAAGTAAGTTTGCAAGCTCACGAAAATTGCCTTGATTAATGGAATTATCTGATTAATTATGGTCATTAAATCTTGTTCTTGTGTAGCTAAATAAATAATCATATCAATAAAGTGCTTTACAATGTCTATTTTCGTCCACGACTTTATTATATTTTAAAATGTGCTCACGGAATGCGAAATCAAGAAAAGTGAATGTTTTTTTCCTAATAATTTAAATTTTAATGATGAATATGTATGCTAATTCGATCGCTCCTTTTTTTTTAAGGATTCATTAATATGTTTCAGATCTGAATATCCTAGATAGTTCCACGGTGTTTTACTTTTTTCATTACACAGTAAGCAATTCTAGCAATATCATTCGGTTTTGGTTTCACTGCCTGTTAACCACTCATATTTATTGTACCAATTTTTACTAAATGATCCGTTACCTACTTCCGCAATTGTTTTTATTTTTAACATTTTTCATATCAGGCGAAAGTTTTAATTTTGAAATAAATAATTTTCATCGAAAGTCAACGTACTAAATTCTATCTAATAAAAAAATTAACAATACATTAACATTGCTACTCACCAATTTGCGAATTTCACTTGCCATTTTGTTTTACTCCAAACTATTAAACAATAAAAACTTGCCTAAACCACCACTACAATTATTATAGGTTAAACATAAACAAACAACAATGACAAATCGTAATATGATACGTAAGTACTTGAGGAATATACGAGTGAAGCCGAAGGGCTTGCCCGGTACGTAAGGCAATTTATATATACTTGATATTATAATTTATTAAAAAGCTGATTCAAATCAAAAAAATGTATTAAATGAAACAAACATTTTTTTTATATCTAACAGTTTCTTTATTATTTGAAGAAAAAATAAATATTGGATTTAAAAGTCCTAAAAATTTACATCACTTCCATATTTACAAACTCGAATCTATTAAAACATTGAAAATTTCTCCGCAATCATTCTTAATTCAGTTTAACAGCAACGAGTTAAAAAAACTTAATAATTATAATTATCATTATTAAGTTAGTAAGTATTATCACAGAATATTCAACATAGCACTGTAGATATTTATTTTTTAACTCGATTTACACTATTATAAAACGGTTTGTTATTTCATTTATTAAAATGTTGTTTTCTGGCATACCTTTCCAGGGAAAAATTGTTCTAATGTTTAAAAATTCATTTAAAGAACAAAATTACAGCAAATAAATATACATATGTGTAATTCCAATCGCTGGCGAAAAGCCTTAGCTGGCCTTAACCGATACAGCACTCGACATATTCGAGCTTGCCTGGCATGGCGCAAATATTCTGAATTGGTAAACCACTTACGTTTCCGATTACTCTCTAGTCATAGGTACGTATAAGCAGGCAAGGGATGGCGTCGTTTAGTTCAGCGGCTACGGGCCAGCCCAAATGTAATGTTGGTTGCTGCTGAGATCATGATTAAATTATAATTTTAAAATATGGTAGCGGGAGTAGTAAGGAGGTAATGCAGTTTAGATTTAATTTTATAAGAATTAGGTCAAATTACTTTGGTATATGTATACAGATTTTTCTTTTATTTTTCTGAAATTATCAGGGTCCTGCCCACCCCAACGAGCCACCACTGGGTGACACCAAGATTTAGAGAGTTTTTGTTACCGGTACCGGTCGTGCATTGTTGGGTTGCCTAAACTCGGTGGTCACATGGCATGTAAACATTTATGAAGGCTCTGTATAATATATGGATAGTGATTAAAATGGGCATGAAAAATTATACATCCTTAAAGGCGAAATTCACTAGTTTTTAATAAATGATCGCATTGTGTCATGCTTATATTATTATAATCCAATAGAAGTCATTAGCCAGACCTCATATTGTAATCCATATAAAAAGAATTATTTCCATAATTATTTTGTAATAGGCATGATGACAGTAACCAAGAATCACTAAAATTATGTATTTATCTAATGAAAATGATTAATGGATTATAAAAAAATGTATTTATTTTTATATTATGAGTGAGATTGATAATATTTTTGATTTTTTAAAATAAAACTACAAATTACAGCAAACCGCCATGATAGGTTGAACACCAATCTGAGCAAATTACGTCACATCTATGTAAATGTAATTTTGTGTCATTTGTACTTCGACAATATCCGCAGTATTTAAATTCGTTTAAATATTTTGTTTCCCAACTATCAGTTGCTTAGTTTTGTGTTACCAAAACTATAACCAGGAAACATAAGGTACTTCAAAAATTTCTAAAAGAAAGGAAAGAAAATAAAGCTCAACAACTGCTAGTCAATAAAATATCAAAATGACTATGTGATCAAAAGTTTATCCATGCATAAATTGGTGCTGAAATACAAAGAACAGTCATGTGACACATTTTTGAAAAAACTCGTATTGACTGATGAAGATGACATGAAAGTTGAAGAGACCAGGCCAACATCAAAGCTGTTTTGGCATGAGTTATGATATGGCAGAGTGACGGCCTCACGAACGTTTAAATTTAGTTGGTGCGAAACCACTGGTGCAACTCTGATCATGTTAATAATGGGAGGAAAAATCTCAGACGCATCGGCCATGAAGCGTAATAGAATGTTGGAGGATGAAGTGAGGATAACTGTAAGTGCCAGTTTGGGGAAAATTTTTTTAAAATGTGATATAATGGTTTGCAAAAACTATCCCACGATAGCAGGATCGCCTGATGGAATCTGTGAAAACAGTATTATTGAAATTAAATGTATCACGAATATGAAGACTTTTAAAAATTATGTGGAAAAAGAAAAGCGTCCCAGAAATTTTATGTGCAGATGGCAACTACAAATGTATTTAACAGGGCTTCAAAAGGGCTATTTGGGTGTAGCTGATTGCAACTACAGTACAAATAAAATAGTAGAAATAATTAATGTTACATTTGATTACAACTATGTATCAGATTTTCTTAATGCTTTATCTCTTCATGGAAAGATAATGTGTAGCCATTATTATACCAAAGTACAATTTGAGGGTAAAAAAAATGCATATACTATTATGGTAACTTTGTATTTTTATTTAACTAATGAATCTTGCAATACAAAATATTAGCAGCTTATGTTTACTGTTGACAAACATAGATGTGACGTCATGTAAAGGCCATGACACCGACGACCGTTTTTGCGTGAGTTTGCGTTCTACAGAAATAAGATATTTTTTGGAACTAGTAAATACTTCCGAACATCATAGAACAGTTTCTCAAAATCTGTCGTCAAGCCTATTGTGATTTCCAATTGTTTTTTTTTTATTAAAGAATTTCAGAATTAAAGAAAATATACTACGTTGCATTGAAATTGAAGAAGTAGCAAATGAGTAGGACATTCAATTGAAAAATTGTAAATTTTCTGTTACAAATTTGTTTTATTTCATACAGAAAATTCATTTGTTTAAACTTTCCATATCTTCAAAACATATTTAAAATACAGTTC